CACCTATTTATTGGTTTCAGTAGGTACATTGAAGGCCAGCCACACTCAGCCTTGAATATTGGATTTTAAAACAAAAGTTCCTATGCTTTTAGAAAAAATCAATAAAATCATATTTTAGGGACCTACAATAAAACCTGGAAAAATGAAGATTCTTCACCTCATGTTAGGTGTTAAATGATTGCATCTTTCGAAAACTGTACCCTATTCAGTATGTTTATATAGATAATGCAGTTGAAAGCATTCAGTATAGAACCCAGTGTACCCCATGCTCAGTGACTGGCTAGCACAGTGCCCTCTGCATATAGGTGTTCAGTTAATGTTTAAGTGGAGGGCTGTCCCCCCAAATCTTTCCTGCCCCTCCAGGCTACCTAGAATTCCAGCTACTGGACAGTATAGTCTTTTGGTCTCTCATAGAAAGTAAAGATTCTCACACAGTGAGTGTGGGCTGATGAGAAAAGGCCTTCTGGACCCCTGCCCAAGGAGGCCACCTTCCCTGGGGAAGGCTTCTCCAGGTCACTGAGCTTCCTGGGTAGGGAAGGGGCCTCCAAAAGGGAGATGAGATTGGCTCAGCTATCAGTCACAGTTCTGATATGTAGAATTTACGTGGTTTTTCTTTCGAAGAAGTCCTTTATGATACTTGTTCTCATCCTCTGCCCTGTATAATGCTAGTTCCTGGTGACATTATTATAATAACTTCTTTAACTTTTTGGTGACTCAGGCTTCAGGGGACTCATTGATCTACTTGTCCTCTTGATGTTAGAGTCCAAAAGACTTTTTTTTTTAAATCATGGATGGGAAGTGAGATGTACCTAAAGTGACCATAGGAATATTTGGGAAAGTTTAGTTTGAGTAACAGCTAGTTGTTTAACAAGGGCTTTGGGGGGTGGTTAAAAGTAGAGATTCTGTAGTCTGTGGGCCTGGCTTTGAATCTTGGCAGCATCCCACATACTAGCCCTGAGACCCTGGGCTTGAACTTCTCAGTGCTTCCTCTATCGAGTGGGGATAATGATAGATAGCACCTAGTTCACAGGATTGCATAGTACTTAAGCAGTGGCTGGGACAGACTAAGAGCACAGCTTACCCAGTGGGTGCAGATTACAAGGTGCCCTGCTGGTGTAGTCTGGTAGCTGTGTCCTGTAATTAAATGGGCGCCATGGCTGTTGAACCCCTTTCCTGCCCCCCAGAGGGGACCGCCAATTCTTTCCCATGCACCCTGAGTCCCCAGTGAGAGAGCAGTGATTTGTGTTAGGATTTGTGGTCTCCATATGCAGGCTTTGTTGTATTTGTTTGCTCCAAAGGCTTATTGCTGTGGCATTCAGAATGTGAAATAATAGTTAATGGGGACAAGAGGATTAATGGCAAAATTTAAGATCAGTTAGTGACTAATACCTTAGTGGCCTATGCAGTCTGTATCTTGATATGCAGGGTGGCTATCCTATTAACATTTCTAAGCTGTTTAGAAATCGGCTGGATGCACATTCATTTTTCATCTCTGCTCTTCCATTCAGGAAATATCAGTAGGGTTTAATAATTCCTTGTCATTTCTGGAAAGATAAATCAGATTATAGATTATTAAGGGTTATTTTTCATGTTGATGGTGGATAAACATTAAGAGGCATCCTTGCTGAATGGAGACTGACTTATCGATTATGATCACAGGATTAATGAGACCATTCAAATACTTCAATGCTCATGGATTCTTTTCTAGTGTTACTGTAGGTAGATCCAGGAATACTATTAACTATGATTATGTACTGATTATTGAGCACCTACTATCCCACATGAGCTTCCCAGAGGAGGTATTTTATAGTTGAGGAAATGCAGAGAGGTTGAACAACTGACCCAAGATGTTATGGGTTTCAACTCCCAAGCTCATTTTCTTACTTTCATACTTTGCAGATCAAGACTCTTGATACAATTGACTGCTAACAACAACAACAAAAAGTTTTTTAGTAAAATCTAGCCTTCCATAGGAGTCTGATCTCTGTGGCAAATTTGGCATTTGAGTCCTAGAGTCCAATTTTGAGCTATGGGGGATTAAATTAAATAATGTATATAAAGTATGTGGGGGGACCTGCCACACGGTCAGTGCTTTATCTTCACCTTGGCCTCTAGCATTGGGTGGGGCACCTGTTGAACCTTTTGAAGTCTGCTGGAATATAGCAACCAAGAGAGCAAGCTGGAGTGTCAAATAGGCCTAGGTATGAATATGGCGCTCTCCAGCTTTGGGCTGTAGATCACGTTGGGGGGATTCTGGTTGCAAACAAGAGACCCTTATTTCTAATTGCCTTATACCAAAGGGAGTTTCTTAAGTCTAGAGGTAGAGCCTGTCCAGAACTGGCTGTTCCAGGTGATACATCTCTCGTCTCTGCTACACTTGATGTTAATCCATCTCTTAACTCATAGCAAGAAGGCTGAAGGACTTCTAGTCATCCATATGCCAATGTGGCACTGTCCAAAGAAAGAAACCAGACTCTTTCTTCTGGGGGCCGTTTCCTAGTAGAAAAGAACATTTTTCCAGAAGCCAGGCTTCTCTTGTGTTTCGGGAACTAGAGTTTGGTCAAATGCCCGTTTCTGAAATAATTGCTAACAAAGTGAAAATAACCTCCCCTTGAAGCACATGGCTTTGTGGGGGAGGAATGGGTAACCGCACAGAACTGAGATCTCGTTAGACAGGAAGGAGGGAAAGGATGCTAATCTCCTCTGCAAGTCTCGATCTCCTTATGTGTAAATGAGGGAGGCTAACACTTAGCTCACATGGTTGTCAAGTGAGACGGGCACCAAAGACCAGCATCAGAACAAGGGGTTACCATGCATTTGAAGGTGCAAGAGACCAGGGCCACATGTTCCAGCCTCTACTTAGGCTTATGTACTGAAAGCTGTGCAATTTTAAGCAGTCTTGGGCTCTCCTTTTTAATCGCTCAACGGCTGTCTTTTGAGAGGCTGCCATGTGGCGGGCAACGTGCTGGGAACCACACAGGACTTACCTGTGCTGTATGTGTATATGTGTGTGTGTACTATCAGCTAGGACTGTGTGTTTCATAGTGCATCGTATATATTATCCACAGTGCTCACGACAGCACCTCAGAGCAGGTGTTTCCCCCGTTGAGGAAATGCACGTAGGAATGTTAAGTGAATATTATCAAGTGCTGGTTGGGGTCAGAACTTACTGTTCTGAACGAGTCCTGCAGGTCAAAGACAGTTTGTCCCTTTCATTAATAGACATTGGAGATCCGTCTGCTTCCCTGGAAAGTTGGTGGCTAAAGTATCTAATGCATTTATAATCTTTAAAATCTGTGACTTCTCTGTTAATGTGAATTTATTATTATGGTTAGTGATAGACGAATAAAAGCACTGATTCGATGAAATCCCTTACCAGCTAATCTGTGCTTTTGCTTACTTAAGACATTAAATTTAGTTTATGAAATGTATCAGAAGCAGAGTGATGGTTCTGAGGAAATCAGTCAGTGTTAGAAATAATGATTTGATTAACTTTGTTTGGGTCACAAACATGCCATTTCTAACACAGGATACTTCCTAGGAATTAAGATCATAGGGAAAGATCCGATTTAAAAAGTGAGGGGCATCTCAAACATTTGGCTAATAGCACCGATATTTGATTTAGTCACATGTATTGCCAGTTTGCCAAGAAGAAAAATCTCTTACTGTTTGCCTTATTAGATACATATTCAGAAGTCGAATTAGTAACTGGGTTCTTACCTGTTTCTGGATTTAAAGCACACTTAAAGCATCTGTGTGAGTTAACAAGAAAGGAGATGTTTTTATCTCTTTATCCAGTGTCTCACTGAAGTGACATTTTCTGGGTGGTGGTCAGCACACACATGTTCTGTTTTTTTGTTTTGTTTTGTCCCCCCCCCCCCACCGCCCCTTGCCAGAGGGTCACCTCAGGGGAATGGTGTGTTGACGTTTTCCATTTTGTTAATGGTATCATAGTCATTTTTCCTTCCTTTTTTTTTTTTTTTTAAAAAGTGAATTCAGAGCAGGTAGAACGTGCCAGAGCAGACTGGGTGGTAGTAAGGAAGATGGGTTTATTCTAAGAGGCTGGGAAACCATTGGAGAGTTTTAAGATTTTTTTATTTATTCGCCGGGGAGAGAGCATGTGCATGTGCACAAGCAGGCAGAGGGGCAAAGAGAGAGGGAGAAACAGACTCACTGCTGAGCAAGAAGCCCGATACAGGACTCAGTCCCAGAGGATCATGACCTGAGCTGAAGGCAGATGCTTAACTGACTGTGCCACCCAGGCATCCCGGTATCATAGTCTTTCAATGGAATGGTGACCCTACTTTTTTTTCTTTTTTTTTGGAAAACACACATTTGGAAAGTTAAGGAACAGCTTCGTCCAGAGCAGATGGTGTGCGAGGTGTGAGAATAACCGTTGGCAGGTACTATGGAGAGAAGCCAGTGGGCTCCGGGAGGACTTGTGTGCCTGTTTTATCCTTGGAATAGTGCATTTGTGTGATGTTTTGTATCCTCTTTCAGACATATGAAAATGGAGGCTTGGGGCCAGTGTTGGGGATATGTTGGTGCATAATAAGTTGGTGCATAATAAATGGGCCAGAGAGACGCTCTCCATGTTGTATCTTCAAACATACTCTAAACGTCTTGTGTTGGGCCAGCCAGAGTCCTGTCTTTTTGCTGTTCCTATCCTCTCTTTCCTCGGATTTTTGCTCGTACACTGGAAAGAAACATCTCTCCTCTTTCTTGAGGTTTTCAGTCTATATTTAAGGTTTTGACAATACCTGTGATGTAGGTAGATGCAAGCTGGGGAAAAAAAATTTAATAGTCCAGTAACAATGGCATTTTCCAACCCCGAACTCATGTTTCTTCTTCGTATTATTATTTTAAGGGTAAATGCGAGAGCCGGCTTGCCCAAAGCTAATTCAGACACACTGTGCTTTTCTAAAAATGAGGTTCTTCCCCAAGCTTCCATCTGAGCAGTGGTTCTGGTGCCTGCTGGTAGAGCAACTTGACCCCTGAAGATGACGTGTGGCCTGAGCACCAGTGCTGGTGACTCTGTTGGGGCCAATTACCGGTCCTCTGGATGTCGCTGTGATCGGCAGGGAGGCCCTTGTGTTCCTCAGGTAAGACAGAACGTCAGTTTCAGTTACTAATGAGATGAAAGGTCTCTGACAACTCAGTTAGCATTTTAGCCGTAGGCATATTTGGTCAGCTAAGATGCACTCTGGTGTATCAAATAACAAAATTTTCTTTTTTCCTATTTTTTTTTTTTTTAAAGTACATGGTAGAGGGAGAGAAGTAACTGAGCAGAAAGGATGCATAGGTTTTCTGCCATCACCCAGAAACATTTGACCACAACTTAGGTTGGCCTCAGTCATTTGATCATCAGGCAGATGCATTGCACATCCAGAATCTGGAGACCAGGTGATGAGCAATTACTGACATGAAGAACAACAACAAACACAAAGATCTTTGGTGTATGTGCCAAATGGTGTATGCTTAGGGAGTTTCCTTTTCTTGTGAGGCAAAATTGCTTTTTCAGATGACCATGCCCATGGTGGGCCAACTGATTCGTTTTCCTACAATTTGTCCATTATAGTTCGTTCATCATTCTTGGTGATGTAGACATGAACTCATAAAACAGAATCTAACCTAGCATGGATGAGTACTTCCTTTTAAGTCTTATCTTGTGGGACAAGATAATGATAGTAATAATGAGAAAAATGGTAATCTTTGTAGTGATACTAAAATGTACTCAGTTTATTATGTCCAGACACTGTTCTGAAGTCTTTACATATACTAATAAGCCTATGAGTTACTATGATTATCCCCATTTTACAGGTGAGGAAACTGAGACGCAGCAAAGTTAAGAATTTTACCCAGACTTACAGTCGACAGAGAGGGTTTCAAACATTGCATCCTAGTTTTTAAAAGTTTTTTTTTTTTCTTTTTTTAAGATTTTATTTGTCAGAGAGAAAGCGCACAAGCTGGGGGAGTGGCAGGCAGAGGGAGAAGCAGGCTCCCCGCTGAGCAAGGAGCCCGATATGGGACTCTGTCCCAGGACCCTGGGATCATGACCCAAGCCAAAGGCAGACATGTTAACCGACTGAACTACCCAGGTCTCCCTAAAATAGTTTTTATTTAGAAAGAGTGAGCAGGGGGAGGGACAGAGGGAGAATCTCCAGCAGACTGCCCACTGGGCATGGAGCCCAACGTGGGGCTCAATTTCACAACCCTGAGATCATGACCTGACCTGAAACCAAGAGTTGGACACTTAACTGAGCCACCCAGGTGCCCCTTGCTTCCCAGTTTTAGATTCTCTATTCTTAACGACTGGACTGTGTTTCCAAAGATTAGATTTTGTTTGAATCTTCTTGGGAGCTGGTAGTATCTCATTCTTAGCAGGCCCAGCCAGTTGCATCCATTTTCTTGCTTGGGTTCTGCAGAACATGGGAAATAAAAGAGTAGAGCAAGTGAGAGATTATGACTCATGTTTATTACCGATTGGATGGCCCATTCTTCCTGTGGACAGTGTGTTTCCAATAGGAGGAAAGGGCGGAGCTGAGCCCAGCATGCCTACTTATTCCCCCATTTACCAATCTGCTAGGTTAAGCCATGTCCTGGGGGTGCAGAGGAGGAAGGGACACAAAGAGACCTGAGAGAATCCTTCCTAATGGAAACCAGGGATGGGGAAAAGGGGCTGCCTTCTCACTTCAGAGTTAGGAGTTCATCAAGTCTGGAATCTAGCTAAAAGTTAACAATCCTGTTAGAGGGGTTGCCATGATGTTCAGTAATTCTTGTGTGGTTTGGCGGAAAAAGTGCATGATGGTATAAATATAGTTGGAATCCTCCTGAGTTTGTATTAAATTGCTGCATATTTCACCTCTCCCTGATTTCTGGAAACTACAAGTGGATCCCTCTGGACCTATGTACTTTTGTTTCTTTTCTCTGTCCTTGAAGTGCTTTTGTCTTTTCCCTTCTGTTTTCAAAGCCATTGCTTACCTGTTTTTCTTACTGACAATGTGACCACTTCTTACACTTTAGAAGGCATGATTGTGTTAGTGAATATTTTGTGATATAAATCGTAATTCTGTTCATTTAGAAAAGCACCTCAGATCTCAAAGTAGTATGGAGAGCTCAGCAACAGTATCTAAATAGATTGTTGTGAGAGATAACTTAGTAGATCTTTAGACTTTACCTTATTGTAATAACCATTTAGGAGTGTTTAAAACTCCAGGGTTGGGGCGCCTCAGTGGCTCAGTCGGTTAAGTGTCTGCCTTCAGCTATGGTCATGATCCCACAGTCCTGGGATCGAGCCCCGCATTGGGCTTTCCACTCAGCAGGGAGTCTGCTTCTCCCTCTCCCCCTCCCCTGACTTATGCTTGTGCTCTCTCTCTCTCTTCCTCTCTCTCTCTCTCTCTCTCCCTCCCTCTCTGAAATAATAAAAATTAAAAAAAAATTCCAATGCTACTTTGCAGTATAGACCAGAAGGAATTAGTGGTGAAATTTGTGGTTCTTTTTTAAAGATTTTATTTATTTGAGAGAGAGAGAGCACAAGCAGGGGGAGCAGCAGAGGGAGAGCGAGAAGCAGGCTCCCCACTGAGCAGAGAGCCCAATGTGGGGCTCAATCCCAGGACCCTGAGATCATGACCTGAACTAAAGGCAGACGCTTCACGGACTGAACCACCCATGTGCCCCGAAATTTGTGGTTCTTAAGAGTGGCAGGACAGTGTAGGAGGCCAGATGCTCATTTGTAGGGTGCCCTCTGGAATAGAGTGGGGGAGACATGTAGGTCACATACTGTTTAATAATAATTATGTGTAAATGGTAAAGACGTGTGCTGTCCAAAAGTTATAGAAAACGTTGTCTAAAACACATTGAACGTTCTCTTCCTTTTCATGGTTTTCGAATGATCTTTGGCGTAGAGCTTGAAGGAGAAGCCTTCAGTGCCGTGAAGGAAGTGGGGGCGGGGAGAAAGAACCATGTCAGGTAACATGTATTACATTTGACAGTGTGCCTCGGACTGTGCTAATCACTTTAATCACTGCTCCGGAGGTCTTAACCATTCTACAGATGCAGAATCTCGGGTTTTCAGTAGTGAAGCTAGTTCCCCGTGGTCGTGCAGGTGATGGGGGGTAAAGCTGTGCCCCAGGCTTGGGTGTGAGCACGCCAGGACATCCTCAAGGGTGTTGAATGTGCTTGTATCCTTGTGCTCCTGCATGCAGGGCTCAGCATGCTTGCCTGGGGCTAGGGAGGTAGCATTTTATGCCAAATAGTTAACTTCATAAGATTCCTATGCTCAAGAGGTTTTTGTTCTCACTTGGTGCTCAAAACACAGTGAAGTAAAACCCAGAAAGCTTTGGACTGAAGTAGCCCAGTGCACCGTGGTGGGTTCTAGACGTAGCGAGATCCCCCACCAGCCCTGCCTCTGCTCCTGGGCAGGTGAAGACCTTGTGGGGTGTTGTAGAGAAGAGTTGCCCCCCAGCACCATCCCTGTTGGCTCCTGTAGAAAAACACTAGCCTAGGAAGACAGTCTTCCTTGTTTTTAATTTTTTTGTTTTTGTCTTTGGAACTCTGCCTTCTGCCTGGACACTGCCATCTAGATACCTTCTTTATGTCGTCGTATCTTGAAAGGTGACTAAAATGTTGAACTATTACATTACCCTAAGGAAAATAACTAAAATTAATCATGAAAAGCAACTATCTTTTATTTATACTGGAGGAAACACTGAGTGGGGAAAAAAACTTAAATTGCGGCTAACATAAATAGAGAGGGCAGATGTTCCCCTAGTGAGCGTTCTAATACTTTTAAAAATAAATATTTCTAATATTATCCCTAAGGCTATTTGATTTATTTAAAAGAGAATGTTGACTTTAATCTCTCTTCTACATGTGAGTTATAGGAGTTTTCAGACTTGTTACCAAGTCCTTTAATGCTAAATAGCTTTAGAAAAAAGAAGAACAGTCAACAATCACTTGAAATGAATAATAAGTTCTCTCAATATTATGCTAATTTTTTTCCCAAATGGAGGTATTTTAAGGAATCGTCCTTGACAGTAGAGACATAATTCAGTTTTTAAAAAACATGTTTATCTGGAAACCAACTATAGATTTAGTTCTGCCCCTCATAGATGGCTTAATAGAAGTCAGTTGTATACTGGGATGTTTTCATTTTTTAAAATGATAATCCTAAAACTGTGACTAGTTGTAATTTGAAGTATACTTTTCCTTATATACAAGTTAAATCTGTGGTAATTTTAAGAAGAGCACGATTTTAGCATAATAAATGAGGATCATTAGATTTGTTTATGTAGCTGATTGTTTTGTCTGTGAGCAGCTTTATATCATGAAAATCAAAGAACTGGATATTTTTATTTTTTGCATCATTTTTTCCTGTTTATTTTTTAAGCCGGTTAAATGCCTTGCTGAACAGAGGGGTGTAAAGTGAATTAGAACTTCTTAAAACTTCGTCGATGTAGGCCCTGAATCAAGACCCGTGGTTTGTAATAGCTGTTGGTTTCAAACAGGAGCCGAGAGTGATGTGTTTCTGTGGTCTGTTAGCCATTCAGCACCACGGTGGGAATGGCTTGTTCAATTGGAAGAACATAGTTTATGGGGGAAAAGAAGACAAAAAACAAAAGCTTTGTCAACGAATGTAGTTCATGTTGATTAGATGTATGTGAATCTATAATGGAGAGCCCAGTTTTAGCATTAGCTGCACATACGGTTTATTAAAATACTTATACCTTTCCTGTATTTTGTTTTACCCACATAAATTCCCTTCTAAGCCAAAACTTGGTTAATCTCTCCATGACATAATACATGGTTATGAATACAGAAGATGCTTTTTCATGTTCCCCAGTGAAGGGAGATGTGTATGGCATTAGACTTTGTAGTCAGGCACTCTGGACCTGACTGCCTTATTAGGAGGCTTAGGTCCACAACTCCGCAGTCATGGCCTAAGTAGGTCATTGTGTGTTGTCAAGCCTTTTCCACCTCTCCACGCCCTCCCACCCAATCCTACTCTACTTTGGTTTTTAAAGAAGTCACCATGAGTACTGATTTTCTTTGCCGTGGATCAGGGTGGTGATAGACAAATCACTTAGCATCTCTGGGCCTCACA